GGGGGGGGGGGGGGGGCGTGTTGTGGGGTGCTTGTTGCGTGGTGTGCAGGAGGGTCGTGTGACAGCCGACGGTGGTGTGGCGGAGAGCATGGACGGATCCATCGCACTGAGACTCAAGGTAAAGCACACCGGTCCAGCCAGAAAACAAAGGGCCGCCACCTGGCACATGCGTGTTGTGTTTGATCTGCAGGCAGACCGTGCTCGCTTAGCTGACAACCCGCGCAAGCTGGATAAGGCCAAACACATGGACGACCCGATAGGTACTGCAGCGCGTGAGTCAGGCGTCCGGCCGTCCTTGACTCTTTGCTCATGTGCATTGCGTTGTGTGTTCAGTAATGCCACCCCGAGCCGAGTGCGACATGGCACTCCGCCACAACGGGCAGCATCGGAGCTACGCCAGCCAGCCGACACCACACCCCCTCAGTGACGGCAAACCCAAGGACCTGACCGTCGTCGCGCCTGCTGTGTATCAGTCTGACGTGCCCGGAGTGTCGTACCACAAGGGCAGCAATGCGTGGCGTGCCAAACCACCGAACCACCTCCGAGGCCGGATCAAGGAGAAGCAATTCAAAATCACGCGAACCGTCACATTCGATCAGGCCAAGGTGGGTAGCTTGCAGACGCGTAATGGGTTGGCATGAGGGGAGACAAATGACGTTTTTATTTATCAGGCACTCGCTGAGGAAGCGGCTCGCGTGATGTGGGCCGGGCATGGGCCGCGCAAGAACGGCAAGGGCGAGGCGAAGGAGGGAGTACCGCACAGCGACGTGACAGGGGTCAGGTGGGATCCTTACAATCGCTGTTGGCAAGCTCGGTACCACGTGGACGGGAAGGAGAGGTCCAAGTGCTTCTACCCGAGCGCGTTCAACGGTGACGTGGACGCGGCCAGAAGAGCGGCCGAGGAGTTCCGTGCAAGCAAGGTGAGGAATGAAATGCACATCCATGTGTGCGGGTCACTATTCGCGTGTGGGGTGTGTACATGTGTGTGTGTGTTGGGGTGTGTGTGTCTGTCCGTCTTTTGTTCTGTCAGGAAACGGCGCATTACCACTTCGCGGCTCGTTGAGTTACCATCAGTGCATAAGAAAGAATTGCAAGTCACGCGCCGATGCAATTGGGGTCGTGCAGACCGACAGACGGACAATGGATGAGATGACTGGTGTGTCCATGTGTCAGCTCTGATGATGACAGACATGCACACGCATGGATGGATGGACAATCGCATGTTTGTAAGCATCTGTGTGTCACAAACGTGGTGGGCGGCCTACCCCCGATCGGCGGCCGCCGCCAACGCCCTCACCCACGACCTCTGCGAGCCCCCAATAGACACCAACCGGTTCTTCTAGGCACTTCAGGAGCTGAGCCGCCAGACAGACAGACAGACAGGGACGTGAGCTGAGCGTTTGGAGCTCACCTCGTTCCAGATAGCTGAGCGAAGGAGAGGGAGGGACAGACGACAGACTGATCATGGCGGGATGATGTGTGTGCAGTGTGCAGTATGTGCCTGTTGGTTCGTGTGTGTGCGTGTGTGTGTGGCTGAGAGACCCGAGAGACGTTTGATTATCCGAAATGAACACATGAATGTTTTCAGTCCGCCCGCCCGTACACACATAGCATTCATCAGCCAGCCAGGCAGGCAGGCAGCCGGTCGCTGGAGGCCAAATTGACGTACACACCGGCCGTCTAATGGATCCACCAATGCGTCTTGGGGGGAGGGGGCCCTCTCTACGCCCTCGACACATACATCATCCATCCATCCATCCATGCCATCACTCACTCATTCATTCATCGACCGCACAAAGCACACATATGTACGGGCACGCACCTTAAAACACACACACACACACGATGCAGCCATCCATCCATCCACTGCTGGCAAAAGAGAGGGGTTTCTACCATTGATGGCATCAATCAAACTGCTCCTCGTCCGTTTGGCCCGAGCAGTACACACACAAATGAGGGCAAAATGTGCCCACAACGAGTGATCAACGAGTGATTGATGAAAGGTCTCGTAGAGCGCCCCCGACCGGCTGACGTGGTCTTCGGGAGACATTCCCAGTTCAGCAAAGAGAAACAGCGCCAGGAAGGACACGCAGCATGACGCGAAGAAAGAGAAGACCTGCCTTTGTCGCCAAGACAGCAAACCACCACTGCCCAGAGCGCTATCATAGTGGACCTCCTTTTTTTCGCTGGCCAGCAGGTGCGCCGCATGCTGTCGCTGGACTAGAACCATCACGAAATAGGCAGCGAGCCTCAACACCTGCACGTACAAAAGGCGTGTGGAACAGCGCACCCATGCAGTGAACTCGCTCTCACATGTGTACTTTCTGGCCATGCTCCAATATGACACCCGCTTGTAGGGGGTCGTCTTTCGGCCGGCGATGGCAAAAGACACGATGGCAATAGTCACCGTGAAGGCGGAGAAGCACAGCGACAGCAGGACAGGTGGAAGGTCGCTTCGCCGCCAACAAGCCTTCCTGGGGTCCACCAATCCCTACACATATTGTCTGCGAGTTGAGTGTTGATTCACAGATAGTATTTTGCTTGTGTGACTGACGTCTTGCAGTGGGTTTCCGTCACTCCTGACCGGAATGCAGCCAACAGTGCCGCTGAGCGAGAAGATGACTGACATCAGCAGCAGGATGACGCCGCCATAGATGTGCTCCATGTGCGTTAGAACTCTCATGACATGCAGCACAACGAACGATGTGGCGATGGCGAGGCCTCCCAGCAACCGCCTTCCTCTCCCTGTCGGTCTGCTCGTCTTCTTGTCTTTCATCTCAATGGCGTACTTGAGCCTGAAGAGACGGAATGGGTGAAAAGTGCAGACTCATCATCAGTGTGCCTCTACCAGAGCAGCCCCAACGACACGTCGTTGCAAATTGCAGCCCCTGCAGCAATCCACACGGCTCTTCCGTCGCCCTGCCATCGCGAGTTCCCCATCGCCACAATGGCCGAAACGATACCAAACACACCCAGAAATCCGGGGGAAGTGCGATTCAAACGCCACTGGCCGGAGGCTGCGATGACGATGGCGATGCCCTGGCATGTCAACAGCAACAGATAGAGAACCACATAAGCGTCCAGCATCCTGAACGCGCCCTTTTCAGATCACCTTGCGTTTCGAGCCCGCGCGATCGCGCATCTTTTTGGGTCAAGTCCGTTTCGGTTGCTGTTTCGACAATCGGCACGTTGGTGACGCTCTCTGTATGCGACGAATCTTGAAGAGATCTACCGACTGCCCAGCCTGAGGCACAGGTACGCCTTGCTGACAGACTAAGATCTCCCGGCCGTCGAATGGATCCGTGGACGTCCAAGGCAAAGAGAGAAACGGCGTGCTTTTTCTGCGCTTTTCGCCAGGCTCTTCTTGCTCTCGGTTGAGTATCCTCACGCAAAGACGGACAGCCTGACACAGTCAAGAGATAGGTACGCAGAACACCAAAGGGGCAATCGATTGTCGACTGTCTGCTGCTTCGTTACGGCTGTCGTGTCGGTCAGGGTGTGTGCGAATCGATGCCTCAGACGATGAGCATGGCGGTGCCGCCAGCCAAGTCGAAGATATTCGACCCATCACAGGACTACACACAGAAACCCAGGCAAGCACAAGTGAATGGATAGTATTTATATTTCGATCACTGAGCCCGCTCTGCACTGCATGCCATGGGCTGCAGGTCGTCGTTGAGCGCGATATTCGAGCCGCGCTATGTTGCGGTCGTCGGTGCCACAGAGAGGGAGGGATCGGTGGGCCGTACGCTCATGCAGAACCTCATACAGGTACGGTACCCACGCACATGCACATGCCGCCCAGCGATCCCCACTGATTCATCCATTCATTGATGTCTGTGTGTCGATGGATGTAGGGCAACTTCAGCGTGAATTTCGCCTTCACAGTGTACCCCATCAACCCCGGGCGCAAGTCGGTGATGGGTCTGCCGTGCTACGCCACGCTCGCCGACGTGCCCACTAACATCGACCTGGTGGTCATCGTCACACCTGCCAAGTCGGTCCCCGACGTCATCCGCAAGAGCGCCGCCAAGAGGGTGCTGGCGGCCATCGTCATATCAGCGGGCTTCAAGGAGCTGGGCGAGCCTGGCATGGCGCTCGAGAGAGAGGTGCTCGAGGAGGCATCCAAGGGCGGCATTCGCGTCGTCGGGCCCAACTGTCTGGGCGTCATGAACCCCAATTGTAGGCAGGCAATGGGGAGGAGAGGGGACTAACGTGCTGACTGGCTGATCC